AGGAGGAGGAGGAGAAAGGAGAGGGGAGGAGGAGGAGAAAGAGAGGAGAGAGAGAAAAGAGGAAGAAGGAGGAGAGAAAGAGGAGAGGAGAAAAGGAGGAGGAAAAAAGAAAGGAGGAGAAGGGAGAGGAGAAGAAAGAAGGAGGAGGAGAGGAAGGAGGAGAAAGGAGAGGGGAGAGAAGGAGGAGAAAGAGGAGGAGGAGGAAAAGAAGGAAGAGAGAGAGGAAGAAAGGAGGAGAAAGAGGAGGGAGAAAGAAACAGAAGAGGGAGAGAGGAGAAGAAGAGAAGGGAGAGGAGAGGAGAAGAAGAAAAAGAGAGAGAGGAAGAGGAGGAGGAGAAAGAGGAGGAGGAGAAGAAACAGGAAGAGGGTGAGGAGAAGGAAGAGAAGGGAGGAGGAGGAGAAAGAAGGAAGAGAGAGAGGAGGAGGAAGAGGAGAAGGAGAAAGGAGGAGGAGGAAGAGAAAGAGAAAGGAGAGGAGAAAGGAAGAGAAGGAGGAGGAGGAGGAGAAAGAAGGAAGAGAGAGAGAGGAGAAGAAGAGGAGAGAAAAGGAGGAGGAGAAAGGAGGAGGAGGAGAGGAGAAGGAAGAGAAGGAGGAAGAAGGAGGAGGAGAAAAGAGGGGGAGGAAAGAGAAAAGAGGAGGAGAAGGAGAAAGAAAAGAGAGAAAAAGAGGAAGGAGGAGAAAGAGGAGGAGGAGAAAGAGGAGAGGAGAGAGAAGGAAGAGAAGGGAGGAGGAGGAGGAAGAGAAAAGAGAGGAGAGGAGGAGGAAAAGAGGAGGAAAGAGAAAAGAGGAAGGAGGAGAAAAAAGAAGGAGAAAAGAGGAGGAGAAAGAAAAAGGAAGTAAGAGATAAGGAAGAGGAGGAGAGGAAGGAGGAGAAAGGAGGAAGAGAGGAGGAGAGGAAAGAAAGAGGAGAGGAAAGAAAAGAAGAGGGAGAAGAGGAAGAGAGAGGAGGAGGAGAGAAAGAAGAGAGAGAGGAGAAGAGGAGAGGAAGAGAGGAGAGAAAGAGGAGGAGGGGTGAGGAAAAGAGAGAGAGGGAGGAGGAGGAGACAGAGAGAGAAGAGAGGAGAGGGAAGAGGAGAGAGGAGGAGGAGGAGGAGGAAGAAGGAGAGGAGAGGAGAAGGAGAGAGGGAAGGAGGAAGAGGAGAGGGAGAGAGGAGGAGGAGAAGGAAGAGAAGGGAGGAGGAGGAGGAGAAAGAAGGAAGAGAGAGGAGGAAGAGAAGGAGGAGAAAGAGGAGGAGGAGAAGAAACAGGAAGAGGGAGAGGAGAAGGAAGAGAAGGGAGGAGGAGGAGGAGAAAGAAGGAAAGAGAGGAAGAAGAGGAGGAGGAGAAAGAGGAGGAGGAGAAGAAACAGGAAGAGGGTGAGGAGAAGGAAGAGAAGGGAGGAGGAGGAGAAAGAAGGAAGAGAGAGAGGAGGAAGAGGAGGAGGAGAAAGAGGAGGAGGAGAAGAAACAGGAAGAGGGAGAGGAGAAGGAAGAGAAGGGAGGAGGAGAAAGAGGAAGAGAGAGAGGAGGAAGAGGAGGAGGACGAGGAGGAGGAGGAGGGGAGGACGACTATGGGGTTCTTGGTGCTCTCTGAGCATGGTTGTTTTCTTGCAGACGTTTCATTGCCCAACAGGTAACATCATCAGTGCTAAAAGAGTGTGGGGTTTGCAGGGGGGAGGAGGGGGTTGCTCTCTGAGTTTCCTGGTTTTCTTGCAGACGCTTCTTTACCCAACCTAGTGTGCTGACTCCCCCAGATGCTTCCCCAGATACCTCTCCAGATGTCAGCTCAGGGTGGGGAGGATGAGCCAGTTCCTAGCACATCAGGAGGGGAGTTGGTCAATGGCTCTAAGCAGCCATCTGAGAGGAACAGCTGCAGCAGGACAGCCCTGAGGCTTCAGGTGGGGAAAGCATGCAGCTGGTCAGGGATGAGGAAGAGGAACTGTCTGCTGCGCTTGATCCAAGAACACATGGGACAGAGAAAAGGCAGGAGCAGCGAAGGTCAGCCAGATTACTCACGAGGAGGAAGCCTTGTCCTTCTTGGTGGGCTTGCACCAGAAGCTGCCTATTTAGCACAGCAGACAGAGGGAGGCGATGCTGGGAACAATTATGATCATTTCCTGGCAGTGTGTTTTCTGGTTGTTGTGATTCCTGCCTCCCTTTGGATTGACAACCGTGCCTTGGCTTGGATCATAACTCGTGAACCCTCTTGCGTTGTGGATTTTAATTTTGCCTGGTGGGTTTATTTTGATTGGGAAACTTTTCAAGTGCCTTGTGGACTCATTGGCCCAGTATTGGTCTGCTTGTGACTGGACTTACTTGGAACAGTTCTGGGGTTTTGGTGAAGGGAATTGCTGGGGGATATTAATAAACCCACTAAACCAGGGGTGAAATGCTCCCGGTTAGGTCCGGTTCGCCCAAACCGGTAGTGAAAAAGGCTACTGGTTCACTAAACTGGTAGTAAAAAATGTTTTAAAAAAAGTTTCGACAATCAGCTGAGCAACGCGCGATCGACAGAACTTTTTTTTTTACTTTTTTAGCATTTTTTTTTACTACCGGTTCGCCCGAGTAGATTGTAAAAAAATGCTTTTGAAAGTTAAAAAAAAGGCTCCGAAGATTGAGCGCCACAACTGATCACACACACACACACATACACACACACACACGCTGTTCTACTTATCCCATGCCTCCTTTTGGCATGCATTGTGCGCACCTCACAATGCAGTGTGCATTTGGTGTGCAGCACGCATGCACAGCTAGCGAACCGGTAGTAAACCGGTTCAGATTTCACCACTGCACTAAACCCTGGTTACGTGTGTGTGAGTGGGACAGCACACTTAGGTACCATAATCAATGCTAGAAGAATGTGGTGTGGAGGAGGAAGAGGAGGGGGAGAGGGAGGAGGACTGTTGGGCCCTTGGTGATCTTTGTTGTTTTCTTGGTGAGATTTCATTTTCCAAACTAGGCAACATCATCAATGCCAGGGAGTGGGGTTTGTTCTCTGTTTATATACATATATAAGAGAACAAACACTCTTCCCTTCTAGCACTGATGATGTTGTTGTGGCCCGCCGGCAGCCAGTGGAGCTGGCAGCAGAATCGGACAGTGAGGAGTTTGGGGAGGAACATGAGCCAGTCCTGGGGGCTGGAGAAAGCTCGGACGAGGGCTCTGCATTGGAGGCAGAGAGGGAGTGTTTTGGCCCCCCAGCGGCCTGCGCGGATCGTGGCTGATCCCGACGACGAGGAGGCTGGTGTGGTGTCGCGCCAGCAGCCGGCGCAGCCGGCGCTCATGTTGGACAGTGAGGAGGCTGAAGAGGATGTGGTGCCAAAGACAGAGACTCAGCCAGGGCCTTCAGAACCTCCAGAGGCTCCTTCAAGTGGAGAGAGCGAAGTGGAGGAGCCTCTCCTCAATGCTCGAGCACGCAGGGCTGCCAAAAGGCAGGAGTGGCTACTCAGGAGGAGGAGGTCTCCTCAAGAGTAAGGCTTGAGGATAATTGGCCACTCCCTTAGCCTATTTAAGTCACACATGGGTTAGTAAGTTTCTTGCTGGAAACAACTTGTAATTATCATCAGAGCATTTTTGGAAAAGTCTTATCGTATCTTGTTTTCTGGGCTGGTTGCCAACCTTTGCCGGACTTTGGTTTATTCTTGCTACTTAATAAATTTGATAAGGACCGTTGGTGTGTGTCAATATCCTCGGGAATCCGGAGCTGGGGCAGAACAAGGAGTTAGACAGCAGCAAGGCAGAGGAACAGCTGGAGCCCGTTCCCAGTGTGCGCATGCGCAGAGCTGCCAAAAGACAAGAAAGCAGGGTCGACTCGGGAGTAAAAGCCACACCTTGGAGGTGATTGGCCCCTCCCATAGGAAACAAAAGAGGAGTGAACAGGGAGTGGGCTTTTGTAGGAAACAATTTGTTCATTCCGTGATTCTGAGAGACTCTGTGCCGGGTTTTGCCTTGTACTGCGGTTGGAAACAAGTTACGTGGCAGCTTGCCAAACAAGATAAGGTGTGTTGAGAAATATTCCTTTTGAAAAACTGTTTGGACAAGCCTGGCTGACTGTGAATGAACGTCGTTCACAGTTGTGTAAATAAAAGAGGTTTTGCCAGTAATTCCTGCCTCCTGCTTGTTAAGGGGTCGATTGGCGGCCCCCAGGGGGAGGGCCTTCTCTGTGGGGGCACCCACTATCTGGAACGAGCTCCCCCCAGAGATACGGAGGATCCCGGATCTGCGCACTTTCCGCCGTGCTCTTAAGACTCTCCTATTCCAGCAAGCCGGCCTGGCCTAATTTTCTCCCCTGTTTTAAAATTCTTTTAAATCGAAATTTTAATCTGTTTTAAATTATTGGGATTTTTTTAATTGTCTCGGGCTAAATTATTTAATCTGGTTTTAACTATGTTCTTAACTTTTGTATCTATGTATTTTATTTTGTGCCTGTTCACCGCCCTGAGTCCTTCGGGAGTAGGGCGGTATATAAATCTAATAAAACAAACAAACAAACAAACAAGGGAGCTTGGGTCAGAACAGAACAGATGTTACCTAGTTGGGTAATGAAACTTTCCGCAAGAAAAAGGAGCCTTGATAGTACAGTGGTCTAAGCACCCTGTTATTAACACAGCTGCCTGCAATTTACTGCAGGTTCGAATCTCGCCAAGGCTCAAGGTTGACTCAGCCTTCCATCCTTTCTAAGGTAGGTGAAATGGGGACCCAGTTTGTGGGTGCAATAAGCTGACTTTGTATAAATATACAAAAGTATGAAGGCTATTGCTTAACTCATTGTAATGGCTCTCTACCTAAGGGACTACGGTTATGGCCAGCAGGCATTAAGGCAAAAGATTAGCCAGATGTCTTGGATATGTGGCTGAATGTCCTAGTACCCGAGAAGATCCTGATTCGTATTGTATACCTGTAGCACGGGAATTCTTGAGCCTCACTTTCTGGTTGTCCATCTTCCCTCACTATCACTTTGGCAAGGTGCCAGCCACTGCTTCCTCCTTTGCCGTCATGCCCTATTCTCACCCTGCTCACCTGCTTCAGGTGGACGGCTTCAATGATGAATTCGTCAGCCTTGATAGAAGGGGGAAAAAAGAAAGAAAGAAAGAAAGGGTTAAAATGGCAGGCAGAAGGGTCAAGTTCAGGGGTGGGGCTGCTGGGGGTTCGCAGGGGTTCAGGAGAACCTCTAGCTAAGATTCTGTGCAGTTCAGAAAACCCCCAAATCCCACTCCTGGCTGGCCCCTCCCACCCTGCCCCACCCCTCCCGTTTTGGATGCAGGTAAGTGCAGGGCATACACAGAGGCTCAGGGAGGATGAAAAATGGGCCTACCGGAAATTCGGGAAGACCAGAAACGGGCCCGTTTCTGGCCTCCAGAGGGCCTCCGGAGCCTGGGGAGGTCATTTTTGCCCTCCTGGAGGCTCAAGGAAAGCCTCCGGAGCCCGGGGAGGGCAAAAACACCACCCCCCTCTGCTGTGGTGCAGGAGGCCAACTAGGCCACAACCACTATGGCCACGCACACCCAGCAACTGGACAGAAAACCCCTTGCTAAAATTTTTGAAGCCCAGCCCTGGTCAAGTTCCACAGGCATTTGTTCCAGAGAGCTAGCAAAGTGGATAAAGATCAAGGAAAACGTTCCTTGAGTTGCCTTAAGCGATGGAGCCTGCCTCACTCGTACCATCTATGAAATGGGAAACATAACAGCCCATTTCCAAGAGATGTTATCACCCCATACTTCAGTATCGTCAGCCATCCTTTGCGGCTCTCCCCCCCCCAAACAAGGCTGAAATACAGCTAGTCCTCAAATTACAACCACAATTGAGTCCAACATGTCTGTCGCTAAGTGAGACAGTTGTTCAGTGAGTTTTGCCCTATTTTTATGATCTTCCTTGCCACAGTTGTTAAGTAAATCACTGCAGTTGTTAAGTTAGTGACACGGTTGTTAAGTGGATCTGGCTTTCCCGTTGACTTTGCTTGCCGGAAGGTCGCAAAAGGGGATCCCATGACCCTGGGACACTGAGGCCGTCATAAATGCGAGTCATTTACCCAGCATCTAGTTACTAAGTCTGCCCTACTATTAATCTTCTCATCGTTCCTATCACCCATCTCCTCCCACTTATGACTGTATGACTGTAACCTTGTTGCTGGTATCCTTATGATTTATATTGACTGTTTCCCTATGACTATCATTGAGTGTTGTACCTTATGATTCTTGATGAATGCATCTTGTCTTTTATGTACACGGAGAGCCTATGCACCAAAGACAAATTCCTTGTGTGTCCAATCACACTTGGCCAATGAAGAATTCTAATTCTATTCTATCTGAATTTTGATCACACGATCATGGAGATATTGCAATGGTCACAATTTGTGAAAAACGGTCATAAGTCACTTTTTTTCCAATACTGTTGTAATGTACTGTTGGCCACTAAATGAATGGTTGTAAGTCAAGGACTTATCTGTAGAAAACTGGCCGCCAGGTTAAAAAAAAAAAAGGAAAGTTGCTTATTCCATTCATTTTCATAGCAGCCACAATTGCAAGAAGGGGGGTGGGAGGGGCATTTTGCATGGTGGGAAGCATTGAAAGCCGTCCCTGCCTGGGAGGATTTAAGAATGCCTCCTGGGGCTGCCCTAAGTACAGAAGAACAAGCCCCCACTCCCTCCTTCGCTTGCCAGGGTCAGCCAAATGCCCCTCAGGTAGTTTTCAGATATGTGTCTTCCACACAACAGAAATTGCAATCCAATTGTTATTTCCAAGGTGAATTTGCAGGCTCCCTTGGGATGACTGGATATAGTCTCCATGTAATTTTAAAATCTCTGCAAGCAAGCGGTTCAAACCTCTGGCAGGAATGAACGAACCCTCCTGTCGGAAATGTGCAATGGGGGGGGAGAGTGGGAGGGAGGGAGGGAAAGAGAGAGAGGGAGAGGGAGAAAGGAGGGAGGGACAGGGAGGGAGAGAGAGACAGGTGGACAGAGAGAGGAGGGAGGGAGAGGGAGAAAGGAGGGAGGGAGACACAGGGAGGGAGAGAGAGACAGGCAGACAGAGAGAAGGAGGGAGGGAGAGGGAGGGAGGGAGAAAGGAGAGAGGGACAGGGAGGGAGAGAGAGACAGGCAGAGAGAGGAGTGAGGGACAGGGAGGGAGGGACAGGGAGAAAGGAGGGAGGGACAGGGAGGGAGGGAGAGACAGGCAGACAGAGAGAGTAGGGAGGGAGAGGGAGGGAGGGAAGGAGCGAGGGAGAGGGAGAAAGAAGGAGGAAGGGAGAGACAGAGGGAGGAGGAGAGAGACATACAGAGAAAGAAGGAGGGAGGGAGAGGGAGGGAAGGAAGGAGAGAGAGGGAGGGAGAAAGAAGGAGAGAGGGAAAGAGAGTCGGTGGGGGAGACAGAAGGGGAGGAAAGAAAGGAGGGAGAGAGAGAGAGGGAGAGAGACTAACTTACACTGCCTTTCTCAAACTTATTAACAGTGTTCACACTATTCTGGAGCACCCGGTCCCCCGTGTCTCCGTGCTGCCCGATGAGACATGCAAAAACATTGGCATCGGTCCCGCTTCCACTCACTGTCCCGGTGCACACGGTCAGTCGATACTTGATTACTGCAAATGAAGAAGTCCACCAATGAAGTCAAGCATCTTGAGATTATGTGCAATTTTGCTTTCTCTACCTCTCCAGAATAAATTCCCCTTTTCTCATACGCCAGTCTTCAATATCCCCCATAATATCACTGACAGAGGGAGAGAGAGAGAAAGACACAGAGAGAGAGAGAGAGAGAGAGAGAGAGAGAGAGAGAGAGAGAGAGAGATGGATGATAGATAGATAGATAGATAGATAGATAGATAGATAGATAGATAGTTGATAGCTGATAAGATAGGTAATAGATAGATAGCTAGATGATAGATAGATAGATAGATAGATAGATAGATAGATAGATAGATAGATAGATAATAGATAGATAGTTGATAGATGATAAGATAGATAGATAATAGATAGTTAGATGATAGATAAATAGATGATAGATAAATAGATGATAGATAGATAGATGATAGATAAATAGATGATAGATAGATGATAAATAGATAGATAGATAAATAGATAGAGAGATAGAGAGATAGAGAGAGAGATAGAGAGATAGATAGATAGATAGATAGATAGATAGATAGATAATAGATAGCTACATAGATAGATGATAGATAGACAGACAGACAGACAGACGGAGGATTGAACATCTTTTTGAGAACTCGGACTCTGGTCGGGTATGGCAAGGCCTGTGACAAATCACGGGGCAGAGCAATAAAAATAGTTTGTCTAGCAGTAGTGACTCTTTGGCTGAGCAGCTAAATCAATTCTTCAGGCGTTTTGAGGTGGAAACAGGAACAACCATCATTCCAGCATCTAGTACACCATCAACATCTACCATCGATAGACAACCACTTCTACTGCAGATCTCTGATGTGTGAGGCGCTTTCCAGAATGTTAATATCCGGAAGGCAGCTGGGCCCGATGGAATCATGGGACGAGTTGTCAGGGTCTGCGCTGCAGAGCTAGCTGGAGGGTTCACGGATATTTTCAATCTATCCCTGTCGCAGTGTGTTAGGATATGGTTTGAGCCTAACAAGTTGTCCAGACGATATATGTGTTCTGTGACTTTAATATGAATATGTATCGTGTGACTTTAAAGTTTTCCTGCTGATTCATTGTAATGCTGAGTTATGCTGTAATTAGATAATCACTAGTTGTAAACGTATTTAAGAAAGGTACTGTAATGTATTCAGCTGATGATATGCTACCATAGTGTGTGGAGTTGCTACCATTGTGCTATCATCGGGTGGATGGATCTGCTACCATCGTGGTTTGTGAACCAGAGTGAGTTTGTTATTCTAACCAACTACTGTTTGTGTGGTAAGAAGATTTTTGTATCACTGGACTGATTTAACTGGCAAAGACTTGGATTGATTTAAAGACTATGAGATTGTTTTTTTCACTATAAAGTAAACTCTTGATAAACCAGTTTGCACATCTCTTATTCATTGCTCTCAGCAACGTTTCTCAGTGCTCTACACTCTGCTGGTTGGTAACACAACAACAATATCCTTAACACAGTGCTCTATCCCTACCTGCCTGAAGACATCCATTATAGTGCCAGTCCCTAAGCAGACAGTAGTGGTATCTCTTAATGATTATAGACCAGTAGCTTTAACATCTGTTGTCATGAAATGTTTTGAGAGGCTGGTGCTGAACTATATAAAGGCTAGTCTTCCATCTACTTTGAACCAGTGGTGAAATCTAAAATTTGTTACTACCGGTTCTGTGGGCATGGCTAGGTGGGGGTGGGTGGGTAATGTGACTGGGTGGGCATGGCCAATTTTTTTTTTTTTTTTACTTTTAAAACTATTTTTTCTACAACCTATTCGGCGAAGAAGTTGTAAAAAAATGCTTTCAAAAGGCTCTGCCGATCCCAGCTGAGTTGCCTGATCGGCCGAGATTTTTTTTCTTTTAAATGCCTCTGCCGATCAGGCAACTCAGCTTGGATCGTCAGAGGCATTTAAAAGAAAAAAAGGGGTTTTTTTTCTTTTAAAAGCCTTTGATGATCCCAGCTGAGCCGTGTGATCATCAGAGGCTTTTTTTTTACTTTTAAAAGCATTTTTTCGGCCGAAGAGGTTGTAGAAAAAATGCTTTTAAAAGTTAAAAAGAAAAAGCCTCTGATGATTGTGCGGCTCAGTTGGGCATGGGGGGGGCAGGGATTTTTGCTACCGTTCTCCGAACCACCTGCCTCCATCGTTACCGGATCAGGTGATCCGGTTCGAACCGGGAGCATTTCACCCCTGCTTTGGACCCATACCAATTTGCATATAGGAGTAATAGATCAACTGACGATCCTATGTCTCTTGTTGTCCATACTGTATTGAATCATTTGGAACAACAGGGAACATATGTGAGGCTGTTATTTATGGATTATAGCTCTGCTTTTAACACTATTTTACCTAACGGGTTGTTTCTTAAAATGTCCAATTTGGGTATAAATCAGAGGAGTTGTTTGTGGATAAAGGATTTTCTGACAGATAGGCCACAGTCGGTAAGGATGGGATCTCACAATTCCTCTACTCTGATACTAAGCACAGGAGCCCCCCAGGGTTATGTACTAAGCCCTTTCCTTTATTCCTTGTATACGCATGACTGCACCCCATTGTATAACACCAACGCAATTATTAAATTTGCAGATGACACAACAGTGGTGGGGCTCATTAATAAGAACAATGAGTGTGCTTATAGGAAGGAAGTACAAGGGCTGACATTGTGATGTAAAGAAAATAATCTTATACTTAACACCAAAAAAACCTAAAGAATTTATAATTGACTTCAGGAGGAAGAGAGATGTACATTTACCATTGTACATAAATGGCGAGGAAGTGGAGAAGGTGGGTAGTTTTAAATTTCTGGGCATTTATATCTCGGAGGACCTCTCATGGACTATGAATGTTAACATGCTTGTGAAGAAGGCACAGAAGAGGCTGTACTTCCTGAGAATGCTCAGGAAGATAAATCTATCTCAGCATCTACTTCTGTCCTACTATCGCAGCACCATTGAGAGTGTCCTGACATAAGGCATTCTTGCATGGTATGGGAGCAGCTCTGCAGCGGACAAAAAAACTCTACAGAGAATCATTAAAACTGCCAAGAATATCATCGGGCTCCAGCTACCACATCTTCGAATCTCGCTGTTTGAGGAAGTTGCACAACATTCTCAGAGACTCTTCCCATCCTGCTTACAATCTTTTTGGACTGTTGCCTTCTGCAGAAGATACAGAACAATTAAAACTCGGACCACACGTCTTCTGAATAGTTTTTATCCCAGAGCTATAATTGCACTCAACAATGAACTAAAGGGCCACCATCAGTGAGCTGTTGGACAGCATTACTTGGTCTGTTGTGTGGATGTTTGGGTGGATTTAGGGGTGGGGAATTTGTGGTGGGTGGGGGGTGTTTGGGGATTGTTATGTGTGTTGGACCTGGTCTTTGGTGTTAAGTGAATTTCGTTGTATGTGTATACTGTGTATACATGTACAATGACAATAAAGTTGTGTTGTTGTTGTTGTTGTTATTATTATTATTATTATTATTATTATTATTATTATTATTATTATTATTATTATATATATTATATAGATAATAGATAGATAATAGATGGATAGATAGATAATAGACGGATGGATGAATAGATAGATAGATAGGAGCCTGAGTGGCGTAGGAGGCTAATGCCTCCTAAAGCAGCATTTAACATCCAGCTGTCTGCAATTACTGCGAGTTCAATTCTCACCAGGCTCAAAGTCGACTCAGCCTTCCATCCTTTCTAAGGTGGGTAAATTGAGGACCCAGTTTGTGGGGGCAATAAGCTGACTTTGTATAAATATACAAAAGTAGGAAGGCTATTGCTTAACGCATTGTAAGCCGCCCTGAGTCTCTGAGAAGGGCGGTATATAAATCAATTAAAAAAAAAAGATAGATAGATAGATAGATAGATAGATAGATAGATAGATAGATGTAAGGTAGATAGATGTACGGGGAGAGAGAGAGAGAGAGAGAGAGAAATGGATGGCATAGAATGATAGAGAGAGGGGGAAAGAGAGGGGGGAGGGAGGGAGGGGGAGAGAGAGAGAGAGAAGAGAGACAGATCTTACAGTGATCATCCCAATATCTTTTAGTGAACTTCCATGATTAAATCTCCCCAGTCCGATTTTAAGACCTTCCCAGTCATCATTTGCACGCACACAATTAAAGGCAACGTTGTGTTGAAAATATTCACCTGGAAACTATTGGAGAAGGTCGGGGGATGAAACTGTTGTCTTTTTGATCATAGTTTCATTTGCATGAACACTAATAGTCATTAGCCACATTTTTGGAATTTTAAAGCAGGATCTGAACCCAGGATCTAAATGAGGTATGCAGATGTATGTAAATTTGGAAATCCACATGAATCCTATTGCTGGACTTTGGCTCTCTCTTGTCCTTAACCAAAGCTCTGGGGGACAAGAAGAGACGCAGGGAAATTTGTGCCAAAGGAAGAGAAGCATCCATTCACTGTTCAAATCTTCCATTTTACAAACTTTGGCAGTTAACTAACCCATATTCCGCCTGTACGGAGCTATGCAGCTACAGTCTTAAAAACTGAAATAAAACTTAGGCTTTATGGAAGTTGCCAAACAGCACCCGACGGAGGAACGTGCATCGTTCCTCACAGTCAGCCACTTCACACAGTGGATTAAAAATAACCTTCATCAAAGGCTGGTTTGACACTTTAATCATAACATTTGCAATTGTAATCATCCCAATAACGTCTTAAGAAGCTCCCCTCTGCATACAGATCCGTGGGCAGGTTGGTGCCGGACAGCTGGGGGGGGTAAACATCCACCAACTTTTTAAGTGCAAATAAAGCAAGATTGAGAGCTTTGGGGGATCCTCGTCCTTTCCCATTCCAAAGAACTTGACCAAAGAAGACAATCTAAGAAATAGAATAGAATAACAGGGTTGGAAGGGACCTTGGAGGTCTTCTAGTCCAACCCCCTGCTTAGGCAGGAAACCCTACACCACTTCAGACAAATGGTTATCTAAATCTCTTCTTAAAAACTTTCTGTGTTGGAGCATTCACAACTTCTGGAGGCAAGTTGTTCCACTGCTTAATTGCTCTAATTGTCAGGAAATTTCTCCTTAGTTCTAAGTTGCTTCTCTCCTTGATTAGTTTCCACCCATTGCTTCTTGTCCTGCCCTCAGGTGCTTTGGAGAATAGCTTGACTCCCTCTTCTTTGCGGCAGCCCCTGAGATATTGGAACTTCTACAGGCAGTCCTCGACATACGACCACAACTGAGCCCAAAACATCTGTGCTCAGCGAAGATAGTTGTTGAATGAGTTTTGCCCCATTTTACAACCTCCCCTGCCACAGTTGTTAAGTGAATCACTGCAGTTGTTAAGTTAGTAACGTGGTTGTTAATTGAATCCGGCTTCCCGCTGGCTTTGCTTGTCTGAAGTTTGCCAAAGTTGATCATGTGACCCTGGGACATTGCGTTGAACCAGTGGCCAAGGGTCTGAATTTTGATCACATGACTATGGGGATGTGACCACACAATAGAACCACACAACGGTTGTAAGTGTGAAAACTGATCGTAAGTGACTTTTTCCAGGGCTGTTGTAACTTTGAATGGTCTTAAGTTGAGGACGACCTATAATATTTTAATATTGTTTTAAATGTTTTAATCTTTTAAGTATTTTTCACCTGCTTTTATAATCTGTAAGCCATCCGGAGTCACTTTGTAGGGAGATGGGCAACATAGAAATTTAATAGATAGATAGATAGATAGATAGATAGATAGATAGATAGATAGATAGATATGGAGAGGGGAGAGAGAGAGAGAGATAAGATAAAGAGAGATGAGATAGAGGGGGGATAGATGGATAGATAGATAGATAGATAGATAGGGAGAGTGGGAGAGAGAAAGAGAGAGATAAAGAGAGAGATGAGATAGAGGGGGGATAGATGGATAGATAGATAGATAGATAGATAGATAGATAGATAGATAGATATGAAGAGGGGAAGAGAGAGAGAGAGATAAGATAAAGAGAGATGAGATAGAGGGGGGATAGATGGATAGATAGATAGATAGATAGATAGATAGATAGGAAAGAGAGAGAGATGTACAGTAGATATAGATAGATAGATAGATAGATAGATAGATAGATAGATAGATAGATAGAAGATAGAGAAGAGAGAGAGAGAGAGATAAGATAAAGAGAGAGAGATGAGAGGGGGGGATAGATGGAGAGAGAGAGAGAGGGAGGGAGAGGGAGAGAGGGAGAGATCATTGGCATAATGCTAAGTCAGGGAAGGAATCTTCAGCATTGTTTAAACCAAGCAGGTTCACAGCTTCCTCCCTCTTTTTTCCTCACCTGGCATCACTTCGGCCACCAGTGGTCCTTCTGCGGCCAGCTCCCGCACAATTTCATTGTCATCCTCGTTGATATCTAACCAACGCCCACAGTTGAAGGTGTACTTCTGCTTTGTCAGAGTTTTCAAAAGAGTGACCTTGAATAATTGGGGAAAAAAAGCTGTGAGAATACATAACCCAATGATATATCAGGCGCAGGGCCGGATTTAGATTGAAAGAGGCCCTAGGCTATTCCACTTATGAGGCCCTTTCACCAGTGGTGGGATTCAATTTTTTAACAACAGGTTCTATGGGCGTGGCTTAGTTGGGGGTGTGGCTTGGCAATCATGTGACTGGGTGGGCATGGCTAGCTGGTCACGTGACTGTGTAGGCGTGGGTAGCTCGTCATGTGACCGGGTGGGCGTGGCTATGTGCATAGACTTTTTTCAGAGGGCTGAAAAAAGTCATTTCTGACTGGGCCTCGCACTTTTGACCGGTCCTCACACTTATGACCATCCTCACATTTATGCCCGTGCAGCTTTCTTAACAACCATGTCACTCATTTCACAACTGCTTCTCTTCACCATGGTGACAAGATAGGGCAAAAACGTAAAATGTGAGGACAGTCGTAAGTTCGAGGACTGGTTAAAAGTGCGAGGACCAGTCAGAAATAACTTTTTCAGCTCTCTGAGTAGTCCATATGCACAAAAGGACTACCCAGAGGGCTGAAAAAAGTCATTTCTGACTGGGCCTCGCACTTTTGACCGGTCTTCACACTTATGACCATCCTCACATTTATGCCCGTGCAGCTTTCTTAACAACCATGTCACTCATTTCACAACTGCTTCTCTTCACCATGGTGACAAGATAGGGCAAAAACATAAAATGTGAGGACAGTCGTAAGTTCGAGGACTGGTCAAAAGTGCGAGGACCAGTCAGAAATAACTTTTTCAGCTCTCTGAGTAGTCCATATGCACAAAAGGATACAGCAATAGAGAGGGATGAAGGAAGGGAAGGGAAATTAGAGTAGGAGAGAGAGGGAGGAAGAGAGGAGGAGAAGGAGAAAGGAAGAGGAAGTAGGGAGGAGAAGAAGAGGGGGAGGAAGAGAAAGTAAGAAGGAAAGAAAAGAGAGAGGTGGTAGGTTTGAGGAGAAAGATTGCTATACAATAAAAAAGATGAAAGGGAAGAAAGCCAACCCCAAACAAATATAAAGATATTAAGATAAAAAATGAATTGTTAAACTTTAAAGAATAAAAGAGAACAAATATGAATAAATAACAATAATTAGAAACACATACAAACATACAATGTATTTTCTTTGAACAGAGTATTTGGCCGGTTCACAAATTTAAACAGTGTTTAGTCATTTCAATTAAATTTACAATTTCTATATTTCCTTTTTGCCATATTTATTCCTCATCTATTTTTGTAAAAAACCAATATTACCCTCATCCTCATCTCTAATCTTAATCAAATTCAATTTTTCCCTTCTATTCTATATTATACCCCTTCCCATTGTCATCTATTTTTATATCCATCCTCACATTGGTTAATTATGTAATATTAGTTGTTTAATATAAATTCAACATTTTAATATAAATCAATTAGTTATATAACTACCTTTTTTGTATATTAATCAATATGAACATGAATATTCCAATTATTTCCATGCAATCCAATTTCTTACAAATCCATTAATTATATTTACCAATAATAATAAACCAAATAATTTCCCCCATATATTCCTCCAAACCACAACTTAACCATTTCTGCTTTCAACACAATATACAATTAATAGTATCTCAATTATTACAATTCCCTAGTTAAATACAGCTTTTTTTTCTTTTGTGTTTTAAAATCCTGAACTCTTCTCTTTTCCCCTAAATTTCCTGTTGTTTGCACGTACCTTTTTTGGTGAGGAAAAAGAAAAGAATTCTGCCTGCCTAATTTTCCAACCTTGCAGCAACAGCAAAGCAGTTTCACTTTCGTTTCTCAGTATAGCTAGGGGGGAAAAAAATCAGCACTCTTTGGAAGGAAGCAAAACAGCGGAGACAAATCAGCTGAGAGCCGGGAGGCCAATTAGCCTATGCTGAAGCTCCGGGGGCCAATAAAATTACAAAAAAAACACCGAACCCTTTGTTAAATTGCTGGCTCCCCCGCCCCTCGCCCACCACTATTTATTGGCAATAAATAGTGGTGCGGAGGGGCGGGGGAGCCAGCAATTTAACAAAGGGTTCGGCCGAGCCACCTAGAACCCCCAGAATCCCACACTGTGTAGGCCCCTCTGGATCTTGAGGCCCTAGGCTGAAGCCTAGTTAGCCTATAGGAAAATCCGGCCCTGATCAGGCGTATTTGGAATCTCATAGTACTTGGAAGGAGATGGTAACAAGGGGTTTATGTGAATAAAAACGGAGTTGAGGTGAATTGGGAAAACAGCAAAACGTTCCTTCTAAAATGTATTAGCATTCTCTTCTGTTAAGGGAGAACCTGAAGTCTTTGGTATTTAAACTATTTGCACTTCAGATCTATTTAAGAAGTTTATATCATCTGTCTAATAAATCAGGACTTCCTTTCTGTTGGCCCAGGCTATAAGCTCACATCTGGATAAACATATAGGATTACACTGTAAGATTTTAAATCTCAAAACATTTAACTAGACAGCAGGTTACATGCACTTAGAGGGATTATTTCCGGGTAAACGTGCTTAAGATCAAGCTGAGGAATGAATTTGCAAAACACTGCATCCTTGTTAATAATATTGTGGATCAAGAAAGAAAAGAAGAATCTTACCGTTAAAAATCATCCTTTCCTCAGAGATGACAGCAACAGTAAACTAAGATTAATATGGTTAAGAATTATACAGTGGCTGAAGAGTTGGTACTACCGTGTTTCCCCAAAAGTAAGACCTAACCAGAAAATAAGCCCTAGCACAATTTTTCAGGATGCTTGTAATGTAATGTAATGCTACCCCAAAAATAAAGCCCAGTTAAGATCATCAGCCAGATGGATGCATTTAGTAGTGTATTTCCCTGAAAATAAGACCCAACCAGAAAATAAGCCCTAATAAGCCCATTTTTTTCCCCTCTTTTATAAAAGATTTTTAAAATTTTAAATATCTTTTAGTATTTTATATATTCAATTTTAAATTGGTTTTAAAAGTTTGGGGTTTTAAATTTGTCGGGGCCAAAATTATTTAATTTGATTTTATTCTATTTTTTAAATTTTGTATTGTATGTGTTTTTATTGTTTGGCTGTGCACCGCCCTGAGACCTTCGGAAGTAGGGCAGTATAGAAATCTAATAAAATGAAAAATGAAAATGAAATGAAATAACAGGAGGAGCCTGTTCCTAGTGCACACATGCGAAGAGCTGCCAGAAGGCAAGAGCACCTAAAGCAAAAAGGACGACTCAGAAGTAAGGCCAGGAGATGATTGGCCCCTCCCAAAAGGCTTAAAAGAGCAGCAACGGCTCTTGGGCTCTTTGTCGGAAAGCAACGTTGCTACATTTGTTTCTTGTTGGCATCTCTTGCTTCTGCACTTGGTGGGGTTTTGCCAAGAAAAGCCTTTGGCAGGCTGCCAAAGAAGACAAAGGTTTGTGATAAGGCCGAAGGACTGTTTAATTTGGACTAAGCTGAGAATAAAATAATTCTCAGCTGTTGTAATAAAATATGTTTGTTGAGGACTGATTGTGTCTGGTAATAACTACTTGGGTCTAGGACACAACACCTAGTGCCTCAACTTTGATTGTGTAACCACGGGGATGCTGCAAGTCATAAGTGTGAAAAACGGTCATAAGTCACTTTTTTCAGTGCCGTTGTAACTTTGAGCGGCCACTAAACGAATGGCTTGTAAGTTGTAGGACTTCTTTTTGCAATCCCCTTTGTCACTTTTTGCTGTTCTTGCTGACATCTGTTCCCATTTGTGCAACTATTTCTTCAAAATACAGTGTTCCAAAATGGACAAGTATGTCCATTCCAATGGCTCGAAGTGGATAATCAAGATTAGAAATGATACACCAGAGTTTTCAAATGGCAAAAGAGTCCTTAAGAGTAGAAAATCTGCTCGTTCTTGCTGAATATCAACCTGGGTCAGCGTTAGGAGTCACCTGTGAGCTCTCAAAAAACGATTAGTAATGCATTTGTGCTGTTATTACTGTTAGTGTGGCTTACTCTCCAAACGGTTCACTTCTGAAACGGCCTGTTTTTCTTCTTACCTTGTGGAGATGCCAGCCAGAAAAAGGACTCCGTTTCTCGTGCCATATCCGAACTTTGAATAACGTGCCCAGATCTGGGAGCTCAATCTATACAAATAAACACAACAGAATAACAACGTTGGGAGGGACCTTGGAGGTCTTCTAGTCCAACCCCCTGCTCAAGCAGGAGGCCATATACCCATTTCAGACAAATGGTTGTCCAATCTCTCCTTAAACGCCTCCAGTGATGGAGCACCCAGAACTTCTGGAGGCCAGTTGTTCCACCGATTAATTGTTCTGTTTTGTTAAAGAGTCCTGGCTAGGTGGCTCAGTGGCTAAGACGCTGAGCTTGTCGATCAGAAAGGTCGGCAGTTCAGCAGTTCGCATCCCTAGTATAGGTCTCCTGCGTGAGCAGGGGGTTGGACTAGATGACCTCCAAGGCCCCTTCCAACTCTGTCACTGTTAAGGAAATTTCTCCTTAGGTTTAGGTTGGTTATCTCCTTGATTAGTTTCCACCCATTGCTTCTTGTCCTGCCCTCAGGTGCATACAATTTAACAGAATAATAGAGTTGGAAGCGACCTTAGAAGTCTTCTAGTCCAACCCGCTTCTCCAGCATGGAATATACCATTTCAGGCAAACATTTGTCCAGTCTCTTCTTAAAAATTCCAGTGTTGGAGTACCACAACTTCTGGAGACAAGCTGTTCCTATGGAAATGTCTCAGTTTTAGGACTAGAAGGTATACCTCTTGATATGCCTTCAATTGAATGTAACTAATCACCTTAAAACATCTAATCATCTTAAATCTTCTCATTTATTTATTTATTTATTTTTTGATTTGTATACCGCCCTACTCCCGAAGGACTCA